GGTAGGGAAGATTAGTGTCTGCTGCACCACAACTATTCACAAGTTCCATTCACTCGCACCTTGGACAAATTGGTTGATGTTTGTAGCAGATGTCTCATTTGTCATTAAGCAGTTTTTACCTCTCTGTCTCTCTGTGGCTGTTGTGGCACTGACAAGTTTGATGTCCATGGTTTTTGGTGATATGAACATAATCAGAGTCTTGCTTTTGGATTGTTGTTAGATTATTATGAAGAAGTGATGAAATATAAATGATTTGGTTGGCTTAGTTTTCTCTTTTAGCTGGAAGTAGTTGCGCGTTTTATGTTAGTTTTCATTATTTCTTGGTAGTACAGTGGTTGTGGTTGTGCATGCTATCATTCTGCGTTTTTGGCATGTGGGGAGAATAAGACGCTCCTAATGATGTGTTTAGTGGTTGTCCCCTTCCTAATTCATCAGTCTCTGTTGCTTGTTATCTGCTTCACCAGGTAGAAACAAATACATTCTCTGTAGACGAATTACGGAATCAGGAACGTTGGTTTTTTAATTTTGGGGGCCCCTTAAACTGGGCTTGTTGGGCCGGCCCTTGGAATTTATTGAAGTGCCGCTGGTGACTCGGAATCGTTTGCCTTTAACACGTGCTTTAGGCCTGTAGATTGTGCGTACATAATGCTCCCCTTCATGTTTTGGGTTCAGGTCTGGAAATTAAGGCTATGTTTGGTAGGCCTTATCAGACTGAATTGGGTTAAATAACACTTGAAACCTATATTTGGTAAGAGAGGAGACTATACAGTCCAACAGTGAAAAAAAAGGCTCATTCGCTACTCTAATATAGCGAGCATGAAACGTAGTTCGCAAAATGGCACCATCGCTAAATTGAACAAGCGAGTTTGACACACACTGGCCTAGCTTCTCTTCTCTGACGCCATTCATCACTCTCTCTTCCTGCAACTTCTCTACCTCAACAAAATTGAGGTTGAAAAACTGAAGCTCCAAGATCTGATTGGACCCAACAGTAAAAGAAAAGAACTTATTTTTGGAATTTCTTCTGAACGAACTCTGGAAACCCATCTCCTCCAACCCATCGTCGTCCACTGCACTGCCCCCAACCCCAGCAACATCAATGGCTCCCTCTCAATTCTCTACCCCTCTCTTTGCAAATTCAAAAACCCAAATATTTATAAATAAACCTAATCCTAGACATGTATTTATAAAAAAACTCAAATACTATTTAAACATAGAAACACATCCAAAATCAACTCCAAAATCAGCAATTGTATATTTTTTGGGTGTGTTTATAAATGGGTTTTGAGTGTGTGTAATGATGAGTTTTGAGTGTGTTTATAAAATGTTTTGGGTGTTGGGTTTTTTTATAATTTCAGTTCCTATTTTGGGTGTTTTAGTGAAACCTCCAATATTCTTTTCCATCTCCAGAAGAAAGGCCCCATGGATGTTAAATCATTCTCCAGAAACCTCTCTTTGAATGTTTATTTAAAAAAACCGAATATGTGCTTAAACTAGTATGTATGCTTTGAGTATCTGCTTTAAAGAATTTCTGAAGGATTCGTATGTGTGCTTAAACTATACTATATCTGTCTTGGGAGACAGAGTTGTTCATCGAATTAGAAATTAAATGAAAATAATAAAATTCATTCATTTATTTATATGATTAAAATTAAATTAAATGAACTTAATTATTGATGAAAAATAATTCCATCAAATATAACACCTGTCACGTCTCTATTCCACGCTAGATCCGCAACAGTTCAAATATTTTTTGGGTTGGGCCTTCCTTTAGAGCACTTCCACCAGTTAGCCCCTTGCTATGGCAAGGGGAGCCCTAG